TGCAACCTTCAGTCTCGGCTTTAGGAAAATACCACATTTATCTGTGGATTGTCAAAGGCTCCAGTGTATTAATTTAATATATATACCTGAATATTAATATGAAAGCAATTTGCCATTAACTGCCAGTGGCCTCATTTGTTACACTCGGCCCTAGCGGGCCTCGAACCTCTGATTAGTCTTACACGGTCTGCAACAATCTCTCAGTGTCGTTTCTTGGAAGAACGGATTTTTTGATCAAGTATTTCTAATTAATAGAATTGTTTTACTTAGTTAAGCGCCGTTGAGTCGATTCCATCCCATTGGGACCCTGTAGCGAGAAGTAGCTGATGAGCTTGAACCTTGCAGTTCAAATGGCTTTGCAGTCTGGTGCATTAACCCACAGTGCCACACCAGGACTCCTGTTTTACTTAGTAGAAGACCAAAAATGTATTAAAACTCAGAGAGAAACCTTTCCAGAGAAGCAGTGACACCAGGAATGCAAACAGAGATGGGGAATAGAGAGGGAGCAGCTGAGGACTGTAGATTCATGAGACGTGAGGGACTAAGAGCTGGTGGCCAAGAGGCAGACTTGCAGAATGTGCCCTTTAGTGGTGTAAATTATTATATATGCCTGAGTGTTTAAAAAAAAAAAAAAAAGAACTAAAGTAAATAGAAACACTGTTAACTGATGGTACATGGATGGGATTATAATCGTTGTAGTGAAATAAGGTGTATGATTTGTTGAATGTAAAACTGATGATTTGCCCTGTAAGCTTTTACTCAATCCACAATAAAAAACTTTAAATTAAAAAAAAAAAAAAAAAATCTCCAAAAGAAGCTCTCTAGGGATTTTACACATGAACAGAGAGATCCGTGTTTGTTTCAATGAATATCAAGTAATTTTAGTAAAGTAAATATGGATAATTAATTCACTGGTTATTTGTTTTTCATAGTAAACTTTTTTGTAAGAAGATTGAGAGACTGTTTGATCCTGAGTATGTGAATCCAGATTCTCGGAGTAATGCAGCCACATTATATAGGTATGGTAAAGGGTTCATCTTTGATAAACTTATCTAATGCAATAGATTTCTTTACCTGTACTACATTTAAACTATTCTTGAATGTTTTTTATATCTTCATGGTGTTTTAGATGCTATTTGTGTAAGAAACTGTTAACAAAGGAAACAGAAAGAAGAATTCCTTGCATTCCTGGAAAAATCAATGTGGATCGACATGGAAATATTATCTATGTTCACTTAAGGTAGAATGAAAATAAAATACATCTTTTTTTGTATGTGTTTCTAATATACTTGGAAGAGCATAACTACGCCTATAAGGAATGGGATAGCATCTCTTTTTGCATGTGATCCACCTTTAATTTAGAAACAAGCTAAGGCTATGTTTTATTTGCTGGCTAAATTTCATACTTTAAAATTTTAAAGTAAAAAATTTAACTATAGATTAATCAAGAACGATATTATATTCTGGTTACTGCTGCTAAAATATAATTTAAAAAAATGTTTTATTGTGAATTATGTGATAGTTTACATGGAAGAACATTACATTCATCCATGACATTTCATTGTCATGGTTACAGTCCCCTCCATGCATCATCAACCAAAGGGTATATACCCTGCAAGCCTGTCCCCTAGTCGTCAACATACAGCCCCTCTCCCTCTCTGGGTCTAAAGTCCCCAGCTGCTCCATCTCTCCACATCATCGTCTTTGCCTCCATCTCTCGCATCACTGCATCTTTGGGTAGGGTCCCGCACTCCGCTCTTCTCCCTTGATGGACCCAGGGACCTCTGCTCCTGGACTGCAAAATCAACCACTCCCCTCCTTTTGCTACAAAATGTCTATCTTTACATTTCCAACCCTCACAGTCAGTCCTGATAGCAATTATTCAATATTGTGCCACATGAGTGCTATCCCCATCTCCTTTCATCATCCCTGCCCAGACAGATTGGATACTACTCAGTGGAGATTCTACCTTTCTCCACACCCTCTGGATCTCGGCTCCCTCTTGAAAGCTTGTAAGTCCCCCCCTCCCCCACGACTTTGGGTAGCCAATGTCCAAGTTGCCCATCCCTGTTTACCCTGTGTATCAAGGGGGTGGGAATGATCCTCGCTGTAAAGATTTGTTCCCTCTTTTGAGCTACTGCATTCATAGGTGTAGGTCAAGTTCATCAAATTGTATCAGATTATTCCTGTTTTTAACTCTTCTTTCTTCTTTTAGTTGAGTTCTGATAATCCAGCCAGTGAAGCCAGGTCAAGTGGGTATTATCTGCAAGTGTGGGTGTTCTTGTGCATATGCCCTCTCTTCTTATCAGCTGGACACTTCACTGTCCATTCTAGTCCTCTGTGGCTATGTCACTGACTCTGGGCCTAGAAATCCCCAGGTCTTGCCACACTGTTGGCCAACCAGGTCTCCACCCAGGTTCACAGGAGTCTATTGAATGTTGTAGGGTTTAGCTTGCAGCTTCATTGCTGTTTTTCCCTCACTTCTCCTTGTTGGTGACAAATGTGGTCACCAGTCAGAGTACATGTCTGCTCAAGTATTCCCATTGAGTCTTAGACCAGCAAGGGGGTTTGCCCTGAGGGGACCCAACCTTGATGTCTCCTGGGTGAGCAACTTCCTTATTTTTGTAGTAGTCAGTTGAACTGCTGTTATTATTTTTTCACTTTTCCTGTCGTTCTTTCTTTCAAGAAGTATCTTCTGTTCTTCTAGCCACTCCAGGCTGATCTGCTTGTCCTTTCAGGTGGAAATTTCCCACCTCAGAAGATTCTGGATGGGGTTCAGAATTCCTATGGTCTTATGCAGTGCAGAGGTTCCGCAGGAAGCCTCCCTTACTGGGCAAGTTGTAGCCCCATTTTAGGTATTCCAATCAGTTATCGGAGAAGATGGACTTACAAGCTTTCTATGGTGTTATTTCTGGCTATTCCTTTCTCTCCCTCTCAAGTGTGTATTTTATAATTTTATACCATTTTATAATGGTATGCAACGGACACCAAGATTCAAAAGACAGCCAGGCATCTTAACATTGTTTACCCCCCTTATGCCCATTCCAACCATGCCTCATCCCTTTATCCCAGAGCCCTGTTGTTCCAAGGTTGTGTATACATCATTATTTACCACTGTCCCACTTAGCACATGCAAACCTGCCTAATCGTTCTCCCATCCACCTTGTTCTTCCATTGCCTTCCCCCATCTTGTGTATTGCCCCCGTCCCCAGCACCTAAACTATCCTGTGTCAATTCCCTACCCTGTGCTCCACCTTCCCCTCCCTCCCTTTACCCCACCCCTACATCCAGGTAACCAGCAAAGAACCCATCCCCTTTACTATGGGTTCTTTTTCATGGTCTTTTACAATAATGGTACTATGCAGTATTTCTCCTTTTGTGACTGACGAATTTCACTCAACATAATGTCCTCAAGGTTCATCCATATTATATGGTGGCCTGCAGCTTCCTTGATATTCTTTAAGGTAGCACTGTGTGGATGCACCATACCACAGTTTATTTATCCATTCTTCAGCTGATGAGCACTTAGGCTTTCTCTATCTTTTTGCTATTGTAAATAGTGCTGCTATGAATATTGGTGTGCATATATCTACTCGTGTTGTGGCTCGTATTTCTTTTTTTTTTTTTTCAGTAACATTCCCCTTTAATAGCCTAGTGGGACCTCCGATGACAGAGGGAGAGGGGGGTACTAGGGCCTCAGCTACCCAGGCCCCTTGCCACTCCACCCCAGTGCCCAGAGTGGGGGGGCTAGATAACGCCCAGCATGGGGCTACAGAAGCCAATTCATTTCCCATCGCTGAGCAGGTCAGGGGAGGCAGTGCCGACCTTAATCACATGGTGGTTAAAAAAAAATTATGAGGGGCGGGTGGCAGGGAGGGGAGGCAAGGCCAGGGCAGGGGACACCACCCCACTGGTGGCTCGTATTTCTTATGGGTAAATACCAAGCAGAGGAATTGCTGGATCATAAGGTATTTCTATTTCCAGCCTTCTGAGGAAGTGCCATATTGCTTTCCATGGAGGTTGGAATCTCACCAGCAATGCAGGAGCGTCCCAGTCTCTCCACGTCATCACCAGCATTTTATTATCCTCTGCTTTTTTGATCTTTGGTGTTATTGCTGATTTGCATCTCTCTAATGGCTAGTGATCATGAACATTTCTTCATATGTTTGTTAGCTGCCCAGAGCTCCTCCTTGGTGAAGTGTCTGTTCATGTCTTGTGCCCATTTTAAAATTGGGTTGTTTGTCTTTTTCTTGTAGAGGTGTTATAGTTTCCTATTTTTTAGAAATGAGTCCCTTGTCTGATGTGTCATTGCAAAAGATTTTTTCCCATTCTTTGGGTTCCCTTTTTACTCTACTGATGAAGTCTTTTGATGCACATAAGTTTTTAATTTTTAGTATGTCCCACTCATCTATTTTATCTACTTTTGTTTGTGTGGTTTTCAAAATGTTTTGTAGTCTGTGTATTCCCTGAATTAGTGCCCTCACATTTGTCCCGATTTTTTCCTTAATGGCCTTCATAATTCTGGGATTCACATTTAGGTGTTAAATCCATGTTGAGTTGATTTTTGTATAAGGTGTGAGGTGAAGGTCTTGTTTCAATCTTTTGCATATTGCTTTCCAGTTCTGCCAGCACCATCTGTTGAAGAGACTTTCCCCTCCCCATGGGATATATTTAGGTACTTTGTCAAAAATCAATTGGTTGTATGTGGATGGGTTGATTTCTGGATTTTCAATTCTGTTCCATTATTAGTCTATATACCTTTGATTGTACCAGTACCAAGCTGTTTTGACCACAGTAGACATGTAGTAAATTTTGAAGTTGGGGAGTGAGAGGTTTCCAACCGTGTTCTTCTTCTTAAGTAGTGATTTGCTTATCCTGGGTCTCTTTCCTTTCCATATACAGTTTGTCATTGTTTTTTCCATCTCTTTGAAGAATGTTGTTGGAATCTGGATTGGGATTGCATTATATGTATCAATTACTTTGGGCAGTATTGACATTTTCACAATGTTAAGTCTTCCTATCCAGGAGCATGGTACATTCTTCCATTTTTGTAAGTCTCTTTTGATTTCTTGTAGTAGTGTTTTGTAGTTTTCTTTGTATAAGTCCTTGATTTCTCTGGTTACATTTATTCCTAGATATTTCATC